CACTAAAATTAGAGAGAGAGGAGAGAGAGAATCCCCGTGTTATTCATATGGGGTTCGATCTGTTGATGACGTAACGATATTACAGAGATAGAAGGATGAAACTTGGGGATCATCTACTACTTTGTGTATCATTAGGATGTACGTGATCATTTACGTCACAGTTATTCCCGCCGGGGGATTTAGTTTCCTTTTCTTTCCCGAGCTAGGCCCCCCCCCATTTGCAACTATAGACTCCGGACCGGTTCAAATGGATTACACACACACACACACTCACACATACACACACACTCTTGTGTTTGCTCACAACCAGTCCCAGATTCTAGTTGCTGTATGCCCAGTATTTTTATTTAATTATTTTAAGTGTTTTAATTATTTTAAAATGACCATAACTCGGGGGCTCTTCAGGCAGATGTCTTAATTTTCTCAGGAACGATTCTTCCCGCCGCGACACACAATATGAGGTCTCAGGTGTCTCATTCGGTTCACTTCATCTCCAGATACAGTCTGATTCCCTCCATGTTATTAGTCCTATTGTCCCTGTGCCAGGTGTTAAAATTTATTTAAATCGTGATTATCTCAGGTTTGGCTGGTCCAATTGACTGAAAGTTAGTATCGTTCAACTCTGCTCGTGACTGTCTTTCGTTCTTGGCCCAGCTTGCAGCTGCTTAAGATTTTTAGAAAGATTTTAATCTTGTTACACCAAAGAAGTATAACTTTCTTACGTGCGTACATAAGTACACACGCACACTTTTTTTGTGACATTCTTAAAAAACTAATATATTAAGAAATTGAGAGCACAGTGCTTTGTAAAATCCGAAACTACAAATATATATTGCTCTACATATTTAATGTTAATTTTTTTATCATATAATCAGGAATAATTGAATGCAGAAAAATTGGTTTTTTTTCTTATATCTGTGTTCTATATCTAATTTAATCTCTTGAAGAATGAGAATGCACGTAGAGATACTAAGTAATAAAATCTCTTAATATACTGAAAAATAAGTAATAATTAATAGTGCGACAGTAGCTTTATTAATAAGTAATTAAAAAAGAAGTTAAATATTTCGAAACTCTTAGAATTTACGTATGTCAAATGAATTAGATGGACTCAATGAATTGTGTGATACAGTTACTTGACACTACACTTGGAATTATTAAGTGTATAAATTAACATTAAATTCGAATTCCCAGAAGGAAAACATGTATCTTTAAAAACTTTTATTTCAATTTTTGAACAATTGTCAGTACTACTTTATTTTTCTAACAACGAAATTTTACTGAAGTGTTTCAAGAATTAATAGAATGGAATTAATTTTTAATGAGATAAGAAAAAAGATTAAACAAATTATTTTGCTCTAATCCCATTACCTCAGTTCTCCTTTAAATTGAATTTCTAAGTTGATATAAACAGGTGTACCTACAGTTATTTAATAAACATTTTACAGAATATCATGAAAAAATATTTCTAAACAATTTCTTATTCTTAAAATGAAGTAAAATTATGCATAAATTTAAAAATTGTCTTTTGATTTGAGTTGATAATTAAGCTACTCGATTTTCGATTACCTAAACGTAAATTGCGTTTGAAAAATATAATGCCACTAATAAACTAGCGTATTTTGGGAAAAGAAGACTCAATATGCACAATCCAGTGGTAGTCCGAGAAGATAGTCTGCCGGATTTAAAGCTTGAACTCGCTGAAAATGGAAGAGGTGTAAGCGATTTTCGTTTAATACTCTACAAATGGTATGATGACTCACACCAGATTAGCAACATATCTTGAGTCTATCACTTACAACGTTCAAAAGGCTTCCTTCGAGGCTTGGATTGCGTACAGCTCTTCGTCGACCAGCATCATGTCTGGTGATGTGGAACGAACGTGTTTCACGAAGTTGATGATATAACCGCTGAAATATTCTGTGATCCGGCAATCGTCGATCAGGAAACTGAGCGTGATACATTCTTAGCGCAGCTCTGCTGTTACCATTTGCACGGCCGTACATGTAATGCATATCTGCGTTTTCTCAGCATACGTAAAGTCTCCCATCTTAGGGTCAGAACAATTGAGAATGGCGCTTTCCTATACTGAAACGCATCATGTTGAACGGTGACTAGACATCTTCTGCCCCCTACCGGCAACGCGACTAATCAATATAACTCCATTTCTCTTTTCTTTTACTTCCCCTGTTTGTGCCTCACAGCGTCACTGGCGACCATACATTCATATGCAATAAATGATTGTTACACAATGTCCTGCATCTACCCTTAAAGTTTGTACCATGAATTTGGGACCACCCTGTATATTATTGGACATGAAAAGTTACAATATCGGATCTTTTTGTATTCACATAATAGTAAAAACTTGTTATAACATTCATCATTGATTATTACTTTTCTATAAATGCATTAAATTCATGCATATTATTGTAATTTTCTATATCTCACTGTGTTGGTATTTTTATTTACGTTAGCTATACATATGCATATATTTGGATCAAATGCCATAACGTTAAACCTTGCTTGTTCCTCTACATGAGCAAGTTTGATAGTTTTGCCATTTTGCACTAGGTGACGTTCTAACATTTGAAATGTAAAAAAAATTGGCTATTCCCGCCAGCAGTTATTTAAACTTACTTACATTGATGCCATTCCTTAGTTATTCCATTAATTAGCAAACTGTTGTAACCAATATATAATTAAATATTAATTAATACAATAACTAGATTTTAACAGGGTCACACAAGAAACTAACGGAGGCCTCAGGTTCCCCACCTCTGACCTACACTATTTCTATTGACCTAAAATAACACTATAAGCTTAGGTGGAAAAATTTTCTTAATGATCACAATAATTTTTGAGAGTATTTTCTCATGTATAAAATGTATTTAAAATCAATTTAATTCAATTATATCACAAAAAAACCATATTAAAAAAGACATGTAATAGAAATTTGAGTTCATGAATTTGAAATAATGAGTTACAGTTACAATGAGATGATGCTGATAGATATGTTAGTTTTGAATTAGTGTTGGTAAACAAGGAAGAAATTTCATAATTTCATTGAATAAACTTCCAAACTTCCTTTCAATAGAGATCAAGCAGATTTAAGCTCATGGAATGCGTGTGTGTGTCTTGTAATTAGTTTCAATATTCTTTAGAATTTTTAATGTTCTAATATATTGTCTTTTTCAAAAGGAATTCATTTAGAATTAATTACTTATAAACAGCTTACAATGGTCTCTCAAGTGAAATTAAAATATGCTTTTGAGAGATGATCAAAATTAATGAGGAGAACAAGTATGACACTGAGGATATTTTAGATTCTAGAAATTAAAGTGAGGCTGCATCGTGGAAAATGTGTATACATGTATTAAGGTTTGAAATTAAGATATTGGAATTTAACTTATATTTTTGAAAGGGAAAGGCCTCAATTGGCGACCAATACGTTAGCCAACTGTGAATGTTAAATCAAGTTTTGCAAACTTATTGAAGTCAATAAGTTGATAACCATTCATAAGTCGATACTCCCAATGGTTATGAATTCTTCTTAATACCATGTCATATATCTTGATATCTCAAGCTTGAAGGATTTAGTTTCCATGAAGAACTCCTGACTAGAGTTGAAAAACACTTTCAGACTGGCGTTGAAAAGAATGAATTGTATTCCACAGACATCATTAAAGATAATTTCTGATGGTAGCAGAGGTGATGGTGGAATTTCTGG